ATCTACATACCACAGAAAGGAACAAAAAATTCTTTAAAAGTAAAAAAAAAAAAAGTACTTACGTTATCGGTCAATGGGCTGATAAATGACAAAAAAAAAAAAAAAAAAAAAAAAAAAAAAAAAAAAAAAAAATCAAGTTTGCCTCATGGGTAGAGGTTTGTAATGCTACTATATTAATGTATCAACTAACATCTTTGCCCGTATTAAATTTTGAAAAGAAACAGAAGCTTCTACCTGTTAGTGCTGCTGATTTGATAAAGGCCGCAGAGAGGTACGATGCGCCAACATGAGTTAGTGCTGCCGAGGGAGAATTCACCATTTTCAGCTCTTCTTTGATAACTTCATGTTTTGGGTGACCATGAGGGAGCTCACTCATACGGTTCTCTAGGGACATACGAAGCAGATCTATTTTCTGGACTGACTCCTGCAATTGCGACTGTGCCTAGTATCAAATGCAAACCAAATTTATTTTTGAAAAAATATTCTTGTACATTGTAAGAACAGGTTATTTTTGAAACATTAAGTGGAGACATGTGAATAAACTTTTTTCTTCCTGAAGACATAAATTCACGCTGAGACAATTCCACAAACCCAATAGTTCTCTGGTGACTTGCCAGAGAATCATTCATTCTGCATACTGAAGCATAGCAAGCAAGGCCCTACCATTAACTGTATAAACCCTACCCTTGTCTATCATACTAAAATATAATACTTCGCACTTATCCAGATTGAACTCCCAATCTGCCATTTCTCAGCCCATTGACCCATTTGATCAAGAGCCCTCTGTACTCAGAAAACCTTCTTCACTGTCTACTATGTCCCCAATTTTGGTGTTGTCTGCAAACTTATTAACCATGCCTTCAATATTCTCATCCAAATCATTTATATAAAATGATAAACAAGAGGACCCGGAACTGATTCCTGTGGAGGCATTTGGCATGCTCCTTCATTGCTCAGTCCTTTGAATATATTGAATTCAAATTTCACCATCTGCCATGGTAGGATTCAAACCTGTGTTCCCCAGAACATTGCTCTGGATTTTAGTTTAATGACATTACCACTAGGCTCCCCCTCTCCGAAATTGCCATCCATTCCCACTCTGGTCTCCAGTCTTCTATACTATTTCAATGAAATTCATTGGAAATTTGAGAAGTTGCATTGAGTCTTTCAATTAAGTACTTTAAATCCTTCCAAATTCAACATTCAATTGAACAACTTCAGATGCTAACCACTACCTCCATTTTCTCACCCTGAACCTGGTCTGTTATCCACCTTGTCTAGACTCAACTTTCTTTACCTTTACATGTCACATTACCATCTCCTTTTAGTTTTACACAATCAACCCCTTTGTCATTTACTGAATCCTGCCTTCTGTCCCATTAAATATCTTCCTTCTTTGTTTTTACTTCCCCTCCCAACCCTTTTTCTCAGAGTCTACATGTACTTAAAAACTTATGTCTTTAACTTGTCCAGCTCTGAAGAAAAAGGTCATCAAGCTGAAAGATTAACAATTATTTTTTCTCTTTCTCCAAAGATACTGCCTGACTTTGCTGAAAATCTTTAGTGATTCTGATTTTTAAAAGCTTTTTCAGTATTACCAGCATCTGTAGTATTTTACCAAATGTAAAACTATCAACATCAGTTTTTCCATAACTGAATTAGAAATCATTTTTGGTAGGTTTCCTCTGTCTCACTTATGTAGCATAAATTGTACAAGTATCCCATAATAGCTTCATCGTACCTCAACAAGAACTTTGTCTTGGACTCTCCTTCCTTCCAGCAATTTCACTGCATTTTTTGCACCTTCTGCTATTGCAGACTCAACCCAGAGATGATGTCTCAGTTCTTCAATTCGCAGCTCCAGAGGAGTGATGATTCCTTTGTTGCAGCCCATACAAGTAGAAAATGAGATCAAACAGTCTCAGTGGTAAGATATGATTTCTTGGGGTGGCTAAAACTTATTTTTTAAATCATCCACTTATCAAAAGATATTGGCTTAGGATGACAGCCAAAAGCTACACTGCATAGCTAATACAATATAAACTCAAGTTAACAGTGGTTAGCACTGCTGCCTCAACGCCGGGGAGCTGGGTTCAATTCCGCCCTCAGGCGACAGTCTGTGTGGAGTTTGCACGTTCTCCCCATGTCAGCGTGGGTTTCCTCCGGGTGCTCCAGTTTCCTTCCGGAGTCCAAAGATGTGCAGGCTAGGTGAATTAGCCATGCTAAATTGCCGGTAGCGTTCAGGGATGTGTACATTAGGTGGGGTATAGGGCAATGGGTTTGGGTGGGATGCTCTGAGGGTTGGTGTGAATTGTTGGGCCAAAAGGCATGTTCCCACTCTATAGGGATTCTACGATCTTAACCAAATGGTGTAAATGTGTATGCATATGCATATGCATATGCATGAGTTTGCATGTCAGACACATCCCCACAGGGTACAAGAGAAATTGGATGGAAAAATATCAAATATTAAAGGCTAACAATGTGATATTTGGACACCGCAAGAAAGTTACTTTTCAATTCTCTCTGTTGGTAATGGTCAAAGTGCCATTTGATTCTGGTGCTTATGCAGTGCATCTATAGCCCTGATACAGAGAAAAAGCAGTTTTATCTCTTGTGCCTCAGAGCTGACAGTCTCCTTCATGCTATGAGAAGATACTAAATAATCAGTTACAGGCTTACAGCATGAGGTTCTAGGCTGCTGCAGCACAGTACTTAACTATTGGTTCAGAGCAGCACGAGCAAAAATTTTCTAGGCAAGGAGCCATTCATTGAGGTGATTTAACAGCCAAGAACAGAGTGCACAGACCGCACTCTCTCAAAAATCATTCGCAAGTAAAGGCCAAAGAGTAACCGTGAAATAGGTGCATTTTCAGCATGTTTCCTGTTTCCAGCACCCACCTATGCTGTCATTGTTATCCTCAAATGCTCCGATAGTGCGATTCATTTTTAGGATTTGCATTCTGATTATATCAATCTTCATTTTGCTGGCTTGTAACATCTGTTGCGCCGCTGCTAACATTTTACGATCCTGGAAGCAATCACAGTCCAGTTTATTTTTAAGCAATTTGTTGAAAAAAGATGAAGCAATTTCCATTAAGGAAAACCATTTCAATTAGACATAAAATAAATCATTTTTCTTGGATCATTTTCTTTAGCAGAAGCAGGAAAGAATGTTCAAGAGGTGAAGACCTTTGAAAATAGTCAGCAGAGGAGCAAGTGAGGTGAGGACCCTCACAGAAAAGCAGAAAGATCAAAGGCAGATCTGAATGGGACTAAACAAGAATAAGATTTTACTAGTCTATACTAAAGTGGGAATAGGATAAGATAAGACAAAGGTTCATATTCTATTTAGTTGAGATGTGGTTGGGAGCTCAGGCACATCCTGCACAATGTGGGAAAATCCTAGATATTCCTGGTAGTCTGGATGACCATGTATGCAGGAGGTGCCACTGGCTAGAGCAACTGGAGCTCGAGCAGGAGCTGTCCTAGTGCATTCTGGAGCTTGAGAGATTTCAGGATGTGGTCACCCTGCTGATTAAGGAAGTGCAGGCTGAGGAAGAATGGGTGACTGCCAAACTGAAGGAGGGGACCAGGCAAGTAGTAAGGGAACCCCTAGACAGCATCTCATTTGCAGGCTATTTGTCAACCTTGAAAAGTGGCCAGTGTGATGATTCCTTTGGACATCAGTCAGGAGGGAAGGGCATGGCATTTTGGGTGGTCCAGCTGTGAGGGCGGGAGTGAGTGAGAGTGATTGTACAGGGCCAATAATGGTAGAGAATGTGTTAGTGAGTAAACAGATGATCTTGTGGTCCTAGACATGACTCAAGTATGGTTGCCCGAATCAAGGATGTAACAGAGCAGCTGTAGGGCTTTCTGAAGGGAGAGGATCAACAGCCAGAGGTTGTGGTCCATGTTGGGATGACAGACTAGCGAAATTAGGTCCTGCAAGCAGACTTGAAGGAGTTAAGGAAACTGAAAAGCAGGACTTCATAAGTTAGTAATCTCCAGATTTCTCCTCTGCCACTCCTCTGAGTATAGGAATAGAAAGTTATAGCTGGAGAGACGGCTGCAGAGATGGTGTAGGAGGGAGGGCTTTAGATTCTGAAGACAGGGGATGTTTCAGGGGAAGTGGGAACAGTACAAGTTGATCAATTATGTCTGAACAGGGATGTGATCAATATCCTCTTGGTCTGCTTATGCTGTTGGGATGAATTTAAGATAGGATTAGCAGGGGAGTAGGATCCTGGCAAGTACAGAGAGGAAAGAAGCAGATGGAATTCGAAGTTAAAACGTGAATAAGCAAGTCTGGAAAACAGAGGAAACATGTAGCTAGATTGGAAAAAAGTAGTGAGGTTAGTAAAGAGGACTGCTAACCTTGTCCCATTATTTAAAAAATGGGAGGGAATAGACAAGGGAATTATAGTCAGTTTAACCACAGTAGTGAAGTTATTAGAAAGACTTCTGAGGGATAGAATATATCTGCCAGATAACGGATCAACCAGGAATAGTCAGCACGAATCTGGTACAGGGAAGGTCATGTTTGACAAATTTGAGGAGATAATCAGGAATGTTGATGAGTGCAAAACATTTGATGTGGTCTACCAGAACAAAGGATTTTGATAACTGATCTGCCATGAGGAATCTTAAGAACCTGTGAGACCCAAAACAAAATGGCATGTTGGATCCAAACCTGACCAAGAGGCAGGAAGACGATGGTGATGATACAGGGCTATTTCTGTGATTGGACATCTGTTTATAGTGGAGTTAAACTATAATAAGATGTAGGAGCAAAATTCAGCCCGTCAAGTCACTTCCGCCATTCAATGAGATCGTGGCTGAACTGATCATCCTCAACTCCACATTCCTGTCTTCTCCTCTAACTTCTGACTAAAAACTACAGTCCTTCTCAACCTTGAATATACTTCAGGACCCAGCCTTGATAGCCCTTTGCAAAGAATTTCACAGATTCACTACTCACCAAGAAGAAATTCTTCCTCATTTATCATAAACGTGTGACTTCTTCTGAAGATTATGCCCTCTCGTCCTTGACTCTCCCACTCGGGAAAAGAACCCTTCCATGTCTATCCTGTTAAGTCCCTCAAGAATCTCATGTTTCAACAATATTGCCTATCGGTCTTCTAAATTCAAATTAGTACAGGCCCAACCTACTGAACCTCTCCTCATAAGACAATCCGTCCATACCTGGTACGAGCCTAGCGAACTTCTCTAGACTACGTCCAATGCCCTATAGAGAAGTGAAAAGCCTTTGCTCAGTGGCCCTAAACAATGAAGCTCCTGATCATTGCTGCAGGCATTTTCTCCTTTACAAATAGGGAAAGCAGTTTAAGTTTAATCCCAAGACCACATGGTGAAATGTGCAGATGCATTAATGTGGTTAAAATCATTATTGCTCTCAATCACTAAATCTGCTCACTGTTAGAACCCATGCTGATTTTTTTCATTACTTTTATTCATTTATCAATTTTGATTTAGAGCTGTGAACTGGGAATTATGAACTGAAAATGACTTGTGGGCTTTAGGACAGCTGAAGCCAGGCCTGGAGATTAATTGCAGGCCAATTCTTGACTTTTGGAGGAACATGGTGTTTAAACAGATAGCAGAGGCTGGCCATTAACGAGGTCAGTACCTGAGAAATGATCCCACCAAGTCTGGAAGAGACCCTATATTCAGATGGCAGATATTGATTGGTAATTGAGACCTTGGGAAAAGACATTCAGATTCAGGCAGGACCAGAGTTGACATTGGTTTTTGAACTATGTTTTCTGTAAAGCAGCTTTTGGCTGCTGCTGACACAGCATGAAGATTTGAAAGCTTCCTGCCTAATCTCCCACACCAGCTTCCAGAAGCCCAAAGAGTAGAAACCCAAGTTAGAACTACTTTTACCCGAGAACTGAAAAGAAAAGCAACCAAACAGTCCACATCTGCGAGACAAGACATCGTGAGAACCATTTAAATAATCCAGCCAGTTTTGTTATTTCTTTTATTTACCACTTAAATTTACCACTTTCTTTGTCTGTCTGATTGAGAGAAAAATCGGATTTAAAAGTAAACACATTAATTAAGTGATCTTGTTTAATTTTTCCTGCTATAGTTATATATTTAGTAAATCATTAAGTTTTCTGTTCAAGATACAAATTATCCATTAATTAATATTTCTTAATATACTATAAATTAATTATTCATAAAGTCTGGGATTGGTTATTCAAATGTCTGATTAGGAATCATTGAAATAATTACTGGGCGTCTTCAATAGCTTACTGTGTTGTGAATATATAGGTAGAAAGGCTGATTTGGCTCGACTCTGTCCCCATGTCATAACATCACTTTAGTAGATCAGACTCTGGCATGAGAAAAGAGCAACAAGTATGGTCACAAAAGAAATGTTACAGTGCTGATATCTGGTAGCTTGGCACACTGAACTTTTTCCCCCATAGTGCTGAATCACTGTCAGAAAACAGAACAAAGGGCAGGTGAGTCCTCACAGAAGGTAAACATTAACATATGGCCGATCCAAGACATTGAGAGTGACCACAAAAGACCTTTAACCTTTAAATGCATTACATCACATATCTTGTTTATTGTCAATTACTCTATTATTGATGATTTAGTAGCTATGCAACTTTAATTATTTTGATACTAATTTTTCAAAAGTTCATTCAAAATGAAACATGATCACTTCAAAACAAATCTTTTCACATTCCAAGTGAATAAAATCAAAAATTAGATGACCACAATCATATTGTAACTAATTTTAAATTTGACCTTTGCTTCCAGTAGCTTCCTTCCTTCTAAGCCTTAGACATCAGACTGCTTCCAGATTATTGCTGTTTTATTGTAAGTTGTCTAACTAAATCCATTTTTGTGCTCAAGTCAAATCCTGCACTAATCAACAAAAGTTTTCCATCAAATCCCAAACTTTAGAGCTACTAAAGAGACACCAAAGCGAAAGAAAGAACCTCAGTGGACATGCGTAAGAACAAAGGGTATTGTGTACCCGAGCTACAAATCTACTCAAACCTTAGAACAAAGGGTATGCAATTTCTACAATGTTATTTCTAACGCAGTAGATAAAACTTCTCTAAAATCCTCATGTCTGGTGAAGGTGGAACATAGAGATCTTACCTTCGATGGTCTATTTGAATACATCTGGATCATGTTTTCAGCCCCCTGCTTAACCTTCATTTCAATATTTAGCTGTCTCTTCAGAGCAGTGATTCGACTGCTGAGAGGAGTTAGACACTGCTCCCAGCAACAGGGGTCTGGAGACATTCCAACATCTGGGGATATTAAAGAATAGAAAACGCTGGGTTCTCTTTACTTGTTGACTATTAATCTTGATTCAAAAATAAAAAGGAGGTCAAAGAACCTACTGGCCTCCACTGAACCAATCACCTTGTTTAATTCATATTTCCATAAATTCAATTGCATGGTATCCAGCTTTCAAAATTACATTTTAGCAGATGTTGCATTGTTACAGTGGTTGACTAAACTGCACCAATGTATGTTCATTGTAGGCATTCAGATGGTTAGGATGCCATTTTTTTAAAAAAAGAGAGCAAGGAATTCTCGTGGGAGCTTGCCCAGTATTATCTGTTCAACCTACATGATAAAACAGATAAATTAGTCTGTTTTTCTCTATTTGTTCCACTTCATTGTACATCAGAGTAAACATTGTATGGGAAATGTTTTGAGAAGTTGAGAGGATGGAAAGCAAATTTACTTTCAAATTAAAAAGTGCACACATTTTCAGCATAAGAGTTCAGATAGTTTTTAGAACTATTTACCAGCATAAATAATTCCCCAGTGTATTAGTCATCCTTGTATTACTGCTTATTTGAGATAGCCCAGCAGTAGATTTTTCATGTAAAACATCCCCTTATGCTTCACCAACCGTCATACTTTTACGCTGAAATATTCTGCCAATCATAATAGCACAACTCAATTCCACAGGAGGACCGTGCAACGTTTATAAACCTAACCTAAGCAGAACGATAGACCAATGATTGTTTTGATTAAAGTTTCCATAACACATTTTTGCAGAATTTTAGGAACCAAGTAAACTCTTACTCATTACACTTATTGCAGTCATATTGGGCTTACCGCAGATAGATCACAAAATGTCATAGCACAAAACATAATGAAATAGTGAATAAGCCTTGAAATGGCATGCAGTGCCCTCATTATTACTCTCACAATCACTATTGGTAATAATACACTCATGTCACTGGTAGCAGTAGTAAAATTGGAGTGATTTTGTGTTTTGCCCTTTTGGATCAAGGTCTGAAGAATTTTATCGACACCCTATCAAATCTGTAACGGTAAAGTATGCATCTGGTGTGTTTTTTTTAAAAAAAAAACACAGAAGAACTGCTGCATAGGTTGTACAGAGAGTAACAGGGGTTAGAGAACGTAAAAAACAAGAGCAAACCATTCAACAAGATCATGGCTGATCTGCCCCAAGTTTCAACTCCTCATTAAAGCCTTCGACTCCCTAAAATTTTAAAGAAAAATCTACCTACTTCCTCTTTAAATGCTTTCAGTGGTCTAGCCTCTACTAATGCTTGGGGGCCCTTCGAGACATTCACTACCCTCTGGGACAAGAAATTCTTTCACTTTCAGTCTTAAATGAGAACATCCCTTCATTCCTTAACTATGACCCCCAGTTTGAAATTCCTTCACTACTGGAACCATTTTTTCAATCAAGCCCCTCTCAGAAGTTTGTATATTTTAATAATAACATTTTATATCATAATAACAAAATATTCACTCCTGTGATGTGGGTGACACTGGCTGACCATCATTTATTGCCTGTTCCAGGTTGCCCTTGAAAAGGTGATGGTGAGCTGCCTCCTTGAACGCCTGCAGCCCATATGCTGCAGGTCGGCCCACAATACAGCTCAGGAAGGAATTCTAGGATTTTGACCCAATGACCCGCATTCTTCTAAACTCTAAAATGAATGAAAGCCTAATCTGTTTAGCCTTTAAGTCAGGACAATGTCAGAAGTCACACAACACCAGGGTTATTTGAAATCACAAGCTTTCGGAGCATAGCCCTTTGTCTGGTGAAGAGAGAGAGAAGCATACAGACACAGAATTTATAGGCAGAGAGATCAAAAGATCACACAAATGGTGTGGCTGGAGTGTCAAATAAATCTCCGCAGGTGATCAAGACCGTCAGACAGTATCAGTAGTGTCAACAGCTGAATAACAAGTGAAGGAATGACCTATAATCCAATTAAATGAGGTAGGGAGACAATTACAAAAAATTAAAAATAAGGTGGTGCTGGAGACAAACCAGTGGCTGGAATAACATGATAGGTACAACAGTCACATGCTGAGGGTCTAACCAAAGTAATAAGTAATTCAAAACTGTACAAACTAATTAAGATAGAGAGATCATAATTTAATCAAGGTGGGGGTGTCATAACAGGACAGGTAAGGAAGATTTTACAGATACAGAACAGTGCGATGGGGTTACATGTAGCTCAACAGGAACCCAAGATCGCAGCTGAGGCTGTCTTCATTGGTACGGAACTTGGCTATCAGTTTCTGCTTGGTGATTCTACATTGTTGTGTATCTTGAAGGCCGCTTACCCAAAGATTGGAGGCTGAACATCTTTGACAGCTGAAAATGTTCCCCGACTGGAAGGGAACATTCGTGTTACGCAGTGACCATTCATCCATTGCTGTAGCTTTCTTAATATACCATACCTCAGGGCATCCTTGCTGGCAGCATTTGAGATAGACAATACTGGCCAAGTCACATCAATATCTGCTATGCACATGGTGGGTGGTGTTCCCACGTGTGATGGTAGTATCCATAACAAATGATCTGGCATGTCTTGCAGAGGTTGCCACGGCAGGGTTGTGTGGTCGATGTTGTCCTGAAGGTTGGGTAGTGTGCTGCGAATGATGATCTGTTTAAGGTTTAGCGCTTGTTTGAAGGCAAGAAGTGAAAGTGTAGGAAAGATCTTCGCGAGATGCTTATCATCAATGACATGTTGAAGGCTGCGAAGAACATGGTGTAGCTTCTCTGCTCTGGGGAAGAACTGGACGAAGGGTACTCTGTTGGTCATATCCTGTGTCTATCCTCTGAGGAAGTCATTGTAGTTTTTCTACTGTTGTACGTCGGAACTGGTGATCGATGAGTTGAGCATTGTATCCCATTCTTATAGTTAGACCCTCAGCATGTGACTCTTCTACCTATCATGTTATTCCAGTCATTTGGTTTGTCTCCAGCACCACCTTATTTTTATTTTGTTAAAAAAAAAAACTCTGCCTCATTTAAATTGGATTATAGATCATTCCTTCACTTGTTATTCAGCTGTTACACTTTACTCACACCATCTGACACTTTTGATCACCTGCCGAGACTTACTAGGCGACACTTTACTCACATCATTTGTATGGTCTTTTGACCCCTCTGCCTATAAAATTCTGTGTCTATGTGCTCGCCCTCATTTCACCTGACAAAGGGGCTAGAATCCAAAAGCTTGAGATTTCGAAAACCTGTTGGGCTATAACCTAGTCTCGTGGGACTTCAGACGGTGTCCACCCCAGTATCTCCACATCCATCCTGATCCACAGGAATTAGCCTGGTGATTCTCTTTGAAACTGTCTACATTGCCAGGGCATCCCAAATTAAATACAGGTACCAAAACTGCAGACTGAACCCCAGGTGTGGCCTCACTTCCACCCTATACAGCTGTAACAACACTTCCCTATTTTTAAACTCTAACAGCCTAGCAACAATGGCAAAATTTCATTTGCCTTAATCACTTGGCACACCTGTATGCCAATTTTGTGTGTTTCGTGTACAAGAACACCCAGATCCCCTTCACTACATCTCAAATCTCTATTTAAAATAGTTGTCTGCCTTTTGATTCTTCTTCTTTGCATTTGGAAAAGTGCATGATCTCTCACCTTGCTCCATTAAACTCCATCTGCTGAGTTTTTAAACCCTCTCTTAACCTATATTTTCTTATCAGTTTCTTATGCTATCATTGCAACATGCCCTCAAGACAATTTTTGTATTGTCAGCAAATTTAAATACATTACACTCCTACCCCTTCCTTAAATCATCAGCATGGATAACAAACAGTTGAGGTGCTAGGTCCACTAGTTGTCTTCCCAAATCTTGTCTTCTGATAGTTAGCCAATCCTCAAACTATGCTAAGGAAAAGCAATAGCAAAGTGGTATTACCGCTAGATTATTAATCCAGAAACTCAGCTAATGCTCTGGGGGCCCAGGTTCAAGTCCTGCCATGCCAGATGGTGGAATCTTAATTCAATTTTAAAAATTCTGAAATCAAGAATCTATCAGTGACCATGAAACCATTGTCAACTGTTAGAAAAACCCATCTGGCTCACTAACGTCCTTCAGGGAATGATATCTGTCCTCCTCACCTAGTCTTTGTTACGAAATCTCAAAGAAGAATGCAACTGGACAGAGTGCCCGGCATCAATCAAGACACTGAGAAAGACAACAGCAGAACCACCTTGTTGACTCTGCAAAATCCTCCTTACTAACATCTGGATGATGGTGCCAGAATTGGGGGAGCTGTCAAGCAACAGCCTGATATAGTCATACTCTTGGAATCATACAGAAAATCTCAGACACCATCACTGGATAAGTTCTGTCTTACTGGCAGGACAGACCTAGCAGAGGCAGCTCCAGACTGAATGAAGTTTCATGGTTTTAGGTTAAACATGGGCAAGGAAACCTCCTGACACTGAGGATGGCAAGGGCACAAGTGCACTCTGGGTGGGGGATTTCAATGTCCACCACCAAGAGTGACTTGGCACCAGCACTACTGAACAAGCAGGTCAGGTCCTAAATGACAAATCTGCTAGGCTTGGTCTGCAACAGGTGGTGAGGGAACCAACGAGGAGGGGAAAAACATATTTGACTTCATTGCTGCCAATCTGCTAGTTGCAGATGCATCAGTTCATGACAGTATCGGTAAGAGTGACCATCACACGGTGCTTGTGGAGGTGAAGCCTTCACATTGAGAATAGCCTCCATCATGCTGTGTGGCATTATCAGTGTGCTAAAATGGGATAAACTTCAAACAGATCTGGCAACTCAAGACTGGGCATCCATGAAACACTGTGGGCCATTACGGCAGCAGAATTTTTCTGCAGCACAATCTTTAAACTAATGGCTTGACATATTCCCACTCAACCACTACCACCACACCAGGGGATCGACCCTTGTCCGATGGACAGTGCAGGAGGGCATGCCAGGAGTAGCATTACGTATATCTAAAAATGAGGGGTCAACCTGGTGAAGATGCCAAACAGCAAGTGATCCCAAAACCAATGGATCAGATCTAAGCTCTGCAGCCCTGCCACATCCAGTCATGAATGGTGTTGGACAATTAACCAACTCACTGGAGGAGGTGGCTCCACAAATATCACCATCCTTGAAGAAAGAAGAGCTCAACACATCAGTGCAACAGATAAAGCTCAAACATTCATAGCATTCTTCAGCCAGAAGTACCAAGTGGATGATCCATATCCACCTCCTCCAGTGGTTCCTGGCATCACAAATGCCAGTCTTCAGCCAATTTGATTCAGTCCTTGTGATAGGGGGAGATGATGGCCTAGTGGTATTATTGCTGGACTGTTAATCGAGAGAGACCCAGGTAATGGTTATGTCCTGGGGACCTGTCTTCAAATCCTGCCACAGCAGATGGTGAAATTTGAATTCAATAAATGCCTGGAATCAAGAGTCTAACGATGACCATGATTCGATTGTCCAGCAAAAACCAATCTGGCTCACTGATATCTTTCAGAGAAGGAAACTCCCAGCCTTACCTGGTCTGGCCTACATGTGACTCCAGACCACAGCAGTGTGATTTACTCTTAATTGCCCAGAGGGCAATTAGGGATGGACTATAAATGCTGGCCTAGCCAGTGACACCTTCATCTGACGAATGAATTTTGAAAAGAAAGAAACAAATAAAAATCAATAAACTGTTAGAGGCATTTAATTCTGCAAAGTTTATGGGCCCGAACAATATTTCAGCAGTAGTACTGAAAGTTTGAGCTCCAGAACTTGCTGCTCCTCTAGCCAAGCTCTTCCAGTTACAACATTGTATCTACCTGACAATGTGGAAAATTGCCCAGGTTTGTCCTGCTTTTTCTGTACAGGACATATTAAACCTGGCCAATTACCGTCCTTTCAGTTTATCAATCATCTGTAAAGTGATCGAACACATTACGATCGGTGCTGTCAAGCAGCACCTGCTCAGTAATACTCAGTTTGTGTTCCACCAGGGCCACTCAGCTCCTGACCACATTACAGCCTGGGTTCAAACAAGGACAAAAAAGAACTGAATTCCAGAGGTAACAGTGACAGCAACAACCCTTGATATCAAAGCCACATTTGACCAAATGAGGCATCAAGAGCCCTAGCAATACTTGAACCAATGGGTATTTGGTGGACAGACACTCTGCTGGTTGGAATCATACGTGCCACATAGGAAAACGGTTCTAGCTGTTGGAGCTCAGTCATCTCAGGACTTCTCTGCAGGAGTTCTTCAGGATAGTGTTGTAGGCACAACCATCTTCAGCTGCTTCAATGACCTTCCATCAGAAGTGAGGATGTTTACTGATGATTGCAAAACATTCAGCACCATAGTATCTCCTCAGATACTAAAGCCAGGTGGGATGCTTTTTGGAGGTTCGGTACAGACTCAATGGGCTGAGTGGCCTCTTTCCACACTGTAGGGATTCTATAATTTTACAAAATCACCTCAAAGAATCATATACAAGAAACATGTCTGCAAACATTTCTCAATTCAACAAAAGCAATTCTTCTACCGTCACAATTACCTAATCTCCAATAAGTCTGTCCGGTCATTGGGTTCTTCTTCACAATTAGATGTGGTTGGTTTATTTACCCTGTCCTTTTTAAAATCTCCTTTCCCAACATTGCTGAGTATTATTTTCATATACTGTAGGTACCTCCATCAATTATTCAAGTGAACTGTGACATCCTAAAGTCAGCAGTTTTTAACAGAGAAACAAACTTGGGACTTAAATAGTTAAACCTGCATATGTGTGCACTTTTCAGCAAGAGGTTCAAAAAGTGATCAGGAGCAGGAATCCTTGATAATTTTATTTTGCTTCTGGTTCAGGATCTGAGAGACCTACTTTGGCATCTTCATTGGCCAAGCTCATATTACTTACCACATACCAGGTATCACATATGTAGCAAACTGGGTGATGAACCTAGCCTGTGAACTAATGAAAGAGTAAAATTTATTCCCCTGGCCCAGAAAGATCAACAGGTGAATCAAGAAATTATCGGTGAGACAGTGGAAAGGAGCTCGAGAAATGTGCATTTCAATACTAAGCTGCATTCTAATTTAAAAGTCACAGTTTTGTACAGTTATATACCTAATGTTTTAGCTCCACATAAAGGGTTAGGTCTTCTTATCCAACATTCAGCTGTAAGTTGCACTCACCTCCCCGATTGTCCCTATCTGTGATCATAATTCGTGCATTCAGCTCCTGAAGTTCCCAATGCAGACGTTCCAATTTGCGATTTGAGGTTTTCAAAATGTTTTCCACATGTGCCAGATTTTTCTTATCCGTTGTCACTTTGCGCAAGTTCTCTGTTCCCTCTTTGATTTTTAGCTCCTTTTGTATTTCGCGTCGAATCAGATCTTTTACTTCATCAAGTTTTTGTTGCATATCTGGATCCAAGAGATCAGCTCCCTCTTCCAGGTCCAGCCTCTGGTTGATCAACAGCTGGTAGGAATTGCTCTAAATAAATTAGATGAATGGTTACTTATTTTCATTATGACAGCAGATAAAATTGCAACATTCAGTAAGTTACTGCAGCACTTGTCACAATAACAATAGCAGTTGAACTTTGAAATATTCTATTAGCTTTTGACTAAAAAGACTTGGTTTAATATGGCATCGGATCTGAAAGACAGAACTTCTGAAAATGCAGCTAAATAACATTAGCCCTGCTTCAAACACTAGCTAGATTACATGATCAAATCCTGGTTTGTTCTTTCACTAAGTCCTTGCAAAACAGATTAGGTATTATCAAGTAGAACAAAGAACTACGAATGCAGGAGATCTGAAATGAATTAAAACAGAAATTGCTAGAGAAACTCGGCAAGCCTGGCAGCATCTGTGGAGAGAAGACAAGAGTCAATGTTTTGCATTCTGTGATCCTTCTTCAGAACCATACAGAAGTTTCTCCAGCAATTCTTGTTTTTGCTAGTGAGCCAAATTTGGCAACAAATGGATCAATAATCTACTGTAGAGCAAATGCCTTAAAAAGACACCCAGCTTGATAGCTTACTTTTAATACTTAAACAGAATTGATTTTAAGTTACCTTGGTCAAATTATTTCAGTTAGATCAAGCCAAGATATTAGATGTTCCCATTCCTGTTCCTTGTGTTTTATGTCACTAAAGTTACTAGTGATAATTCCAATTCCCAATCCATTACATCATTCAGTAATGGAATGGTTACATTTACCACATTCCCTTCAAAAGTTTGATTAAAAACAAATTGTTCCCAAAAATTAGCCTGCATTAAATGCTGTATAATTTGAGTAATCTCTTTCAGGAACTGCTCAGCTTTTGCTGGCTTTCTGCATTGCCCCATTTGATTATTCCAACTAACTTTCAAATTAGAACAAAAGTCTGAGATATTTTCCCCCAGAGGAAAAAACAGGAATAAACAAGTGGCTTAAGCCACATGCTTCCCTGAACATTTGGCCTAAACAGTCACAGCATCTCAACCATGGTCTATTAAACATTTTGGAAAGTTTTATTTTCCTCAGGCCTGGTAAGGCATCAGGTGACTAAAATAAATATATGCATTCCTTCTAAAGAAAGGTCGATGGATCTGAAACATTAATTCTGTTCCTCTCTTCACAGGTGCTGCCAATTCTACAGCGTATTTCAAATAGTTTGGTACTTTTATTTCTATCGCCATTTCCACTATCTTATGATAGAAAGCATTTAACAACCAGTAGACTGCGTTTGAATTCCAGTCACTGTTATAACATAGAAAACTGGCATGCAAACTGAAAGATCCTATCAACAGTTGAGAGATGCAGGTAATGCCAAAATAATTTTTCTGGAAAGAAAAGATTGGTTTAGAGATAAATATTTACCTGCACACAAGGAAAAACACATTTCATTAAGTAAAAGCATTAATTAGTCATATACATAACCCAAAGGTCAGCATTTCTTGTCCATCCCAAACAACTAAACAGCTTGCTTGGCTATTTTAGAGGACATTTACAGTGTCCTGGGTCTGGAGTCACATACACAACAGATGAGGGGCAATGGCAAATTTCCTTCCCTACATAACATCAACAATCAAACAACCTTTTATACCAACCAGTAATTTCATAGTCAACATTACCAGTATTTTTCACTAGCCAAGTCACCAATTGTCCCAGTGGACTCTGAACACTTGTCTGTATATCATTAACTCAGGCCTCAAGATGACTCACCAACACAGTTCAATAACATAGTCACTATTCTACCAAACCAAAATTTTACTTTGCACAAACAGCTATTTCTTTTACACATGACCACAGTCAGGCCTTTGGTGTGAAGTATTATTGGAAACGCTGGCCCACCAACAGGGCGGCGCTCCCTCAGCACTGACCCTCCGACAGTGCGGAGCTTCCCTCAGCGCTGACCCTCCGACAGTGCGGCGCTCCCTCAGCAGCTCAATAGGGCGTCATTCTAGAAAGTTGTGCCATGTGTCTCTAACGGAGACTCAAACTCACGACCTACTGATACTGAAGTTTGAATGCTGCGTATTAAAAAAAAATCATTGAATAGGACCCTGTCCGGGATTTTCCCTCTTATGGAGTGGGGGAAACATCGGGACCAGATTCGCGATCTTTTTCTGACTCGTTGAACTTCACTAGCAATTTGTTTTGTAACTTTTCCTGACCTGTTTGCAACTCCCCGCCATCGTCCCTCAGCAACTTTATTTCTTTTCCGCCTAAAGGATGGTGCTGTCTGGTCATTCCTACTCCATTTATTTCCCCTCAGTCAGTTGAGCCACTAACGGATGCGCCGTTTGAAATGTTTTTAAACCCAGCGCGCTCCCGCCCCGGTACGGCGCGCCCCACTCGCTAATTGGACAATTGCGGCCACAAGTGAACTGTCAATCAGTCATTTCCAACTAATATAAGGTTGTGGGCGGACCTTCGTGTACGTGATGTCATCGCTCGTCATTGCAAAGCTGCCTTATCTTTGACGTCATCAGGCTGCCCTCCCCAGCAGCAAAAGTGTCCTTTCTTGTTGAAACTATGAGGCATGCTTGGCTAATTAGAGTAAAAATAAATAATCATGTTGAATATTTGTGAAACATTATACATTTGTTTAAGCCTTTTGTCTTGCGCTAATAAGAACAATTTGCACAATTCAAGTTCTGATGAAGGGTCTAGGCCCGAAACGTCAGCCTCTCTGCTCCTATGATGCTGCTTGGCCTGCTGTGTTCATCCAGCCCTGCACCTTGTTGTCTCAAGTTCTGGTCATATTGGATTTGAAACATTATCTTTTCTATCATTCTATGTGTTTTTCTAGAACTTATTGTCTATCTCAGATTTCCTTGATCAATAGTATTTTTCTTTTGGTAATAAGAACAGAAATTGTTGGAGAAACTCAGCAGGTTTGGCAATATATGTAAAAAGAGAATCAGACTTAACACTTTGAGTCCAAAATGACTTCAAAACACAAACTGAGTTGTTCCACTATCATGAAACAAAATGCCTAACAAAAATACCCCCTCTTTAGTGAGGGACAGTTAATTAAGAACTACATTGAAAATCAACTGAAATTGAAGATTAAATGATAAAATTGTGAGCGGCATTTGACATACCCTCAATTCCTGAACTGCCCAATGGCCTCAGAAATCTTAAGCTGGGGTATACTGTCATTCTTTCTTCAGAACGAGGATTCAAAATATGGACCCACTGAACAATTTTGAAACCTCTCTAGTCTTGAGAGGTACTGGTGGGTATTTCACAACTAGAGGTTTGTCATAAGATGGAAGTACTGTTTTCTATATCCTTTCATGGAGTATGGAAGTCACTGACAATCCCTGCATTTGTTGACAATCATTAATTGCCCTTGAAGTGAATGGCTCATTATATCATTCCAGAGGGCTATTAAGGTTAGTTTTTTTGCAGATGACACCAAAATTAGTGGTGTAGTGGCCAGCCAAGAAGGTTACCTCAGGGTACAGCAGGACCTTGATCAGATGGGCAGATGGGCTGAGGAGTTGCAGGTGGAGTTTAATTTAGATTAATGTGAGGTGCTGCATTTTGGAAAGGCAAATCAGGGCAGGACTTATACAGTTAATGGTAAGGTACTGGTGAGTGTTGCTGAACTGACTCCTTGTAGTGTATGTTCATAGTTCCTTGAAAGTAGAGTCATAATGTAGAGGATAATGAAGAAGGCATTTGGAATGCTTGCCTTTATTGGTCAGTGCATTGAGTGAAGAAGTTGGGAGGCCATGTTGTGGCTATATAGGACATTGGTTAGGCAGCTTTTGGAATACTGCATTTAATTCTGGTCTCCCTGCTATAGGAAGGATGTTGTGAAACTTCAAAGGGTTCAGAAAAAATTTACAAGGATGGTGCCAGGGTTGGAAGGTTTGAGCTACAGGGAGACGCTGAATAGCCTGGGGCTGTTGTCCCTGGAGTGTCAGAGGCTGAGGGGTGACCTTATAGAGGATTATAAAATCATGAGGGGCATAGGTAAGGTGAACAGCCAAGGTCTTTTCCCAAGGATAATGGAGTCCAAAACTAGAAAGCATAAGGTGAAAGGGGGAAGATTTAAAAGGGATCTAAGGGGGAACATATTCGCACAGAGGGTGGTGTGTGTATGGAATAAACTGCCAGGGGAAGTGGTGGAGTCTGGTACAATTATAACATTTAAAAGGCATTTGGGTGGGTACATGAATAGGAAAGGTTTAGAGGGATATGGGCCAAATGGTGGCAACTGGGATTACATTAATTTAGGATATCTGGTCAGCATGAATGAGTTGGACCAAAGGGTCTGTTTCCACACTGTACAGCTCTATGACTGTAAGAGTCAACTACTTTGCTGTGTCATATTAGGCCAGAGAAGGAGGGCAAATTTCCTTCCTCAAAAACATTAATGAACCAGATTTGATGATATTTTTATGGTCACCATTACTGAGACTAGCTATTAAATCAAATGTATTAATTGAATGATAAATTACCACAGGTGCCATTGTGAGATTGAACACATCCTCAGAGCAAAGGATTACTTGTCCAGTGCTATTACCACAATGTAACTGCCTATCCCTGCCTGCAGTGAAGCTGTAGATTCAGATTTCACAGCGGTTTTTCAAGGTGCAGAGAGATATGTTGCAGTATATATATTACGAAGAAAAGAAGCATCAAAGAAGGTGTAGAGAAGATTTATAAGGGTATTACTAGAAACGTGTGTGCCTAAATATCAGGAAAAGATTGATAGAATACAGAGGAATATACAGAGTACAGAGGAATATAGCAACATAAGAACAGGAGGAGGCCTTCGACCTGTTGAACATGCCCCACTGTTCAATACAATCATGCTGATTGATGATTTCAATGCCCTTTTCCATCAATTCCCATCTGTTACCGGTAATTAGAAATCTATCAATCTTTACATTAAAAATATTCAAAGACCATGCCTCCACAGCCATATATGATACAGAATTCCAAAGACTCACAACACTGAATAAAATCATTTTTTCTTATCTCAGATCTAAGTGACATGTCCCTTATTTTCTTACATTACAACAGTAAACACACTTAAATGTACTTTGTTGATTGTAATGCATTTTGGGATGTCTTAACAGAATGAAAGTAGAGTTACCAACCCTGCAAATTAATGATCTATCTCCAAAAAACTGTAAGAAACGCAGAAAATAATAAAAACTGTTTATTTGTTTTAAAGCTGTTAATTTAATTTGTTTACTAGTTCTAAAAATATTGGAGATGAGAACATAGTGTACAAAACAAACAATTAAGAATCTTGTTCACATTTTTGTAAGAGTGCTGTGAATGTATGAATTAGGCACAGAAATAGGCCAGAGATAGTAGGAACTGCAGATGCTGGAGAATCTGAGATAACAAGGTGTAGAGCTGGATGAACACAGCAGGCCAAGCAGCATCAGA